AAAAAAAAAAAAGGAGCATTCTAGGGGCATCTGGCTGGCTCAGTTGGTAGAGCACGGAACTCTTGATCTCAGGGTTGTGAGTTTGAGCCCCACATTGGGTGTAGAGATTATTTATATAAAACTTTAAAAAAAGGGAGCATACTATGCTGAGCCCAGCAGAGTTTATCTGCCTGCCCACTAATAGTATAACAAGAGAAGAGACATTTCTCCAGCTCAGAAAATCAGGGATATTGCTTCCAGGTAGAGTTCCAGAGTCTTGTTTTGTTTTGTTTTGTTTTTTAAGATTTTATTTATTTGAGAGAGAGAATGAGCAGGGGGAAGGACAGAGAGAGAAGCAGACTCCCCGCTGAGCAGGGAGCCTGACACGGGGCTCAATCCCAGGACCCGGAGGTCATGACCCGAGCTGAAGGCAGAGGCTTCACCTACTGAGCCACCAGAGTCCCGGAGTCTTGGCAAGCCTTTTCTTTCCCTTGAGTCCTTTTCCCATCCCTTGGGTCCCTCAGTATCTATTAGGGTAATCAGAGAATACATCTGCATTTTTTGTAGAGTGGACTGGACGTTGATGAGCCTCAAGTCCGTTTAGGTCGTCTCTACTTGTATAGTTTCTATGAGGACAGCCCTGCTTGCCCCCTGCTTGAGATCCAAAGAAGAGATACTTCTGCAATCCTGGACATGAAATGGTATAATGTTGATAACAATTCCTCTTGTCTGGAATTTGTCAAGAGTATCCGTTCATTTAATCAGGGAGCCTGATGCCTGTCAGCATTCAATAAGATGGGGAAATGTCTGAACTTTCTCATTTCCTTATTGTTCTGCCCACCTGTTGGCACTTGGAGGGTACAGTAGACTTGGGCTCCTTTCATTTGTCAGTTTCCAAGTCCTAGGGTTGGTATGAGTCTGGGAAGTGATGCTCGTTTTCTGATTGATAAGCTGGGGAATCTTGGAACAGAATTGTAGGCTACAACCTGGTTTTGGAGCTGAAATTTAAATAATAAGTTACTGAGGTGCATAATGCTCTCCTGTGCTCTGGGTGTATCCTGTGTTCTGACTGGCATATGAATTCTCTCCCTCAGGTGCCACATCCCGGTGGCCGGCCGTGCCCTCTTGGGTGTGGCAGATGCTGGTGGGTCCATAGAGCTACTCTGCTTGGTGGGATCTGAGGTCAGTGACTAGGACCAGGAGTTGTCCTAGTGGGGGGCGGAAAGAATCTGAATGGAGAGGGTTTGGGCATGAGGCGGTGCTGCTACAAACCTTTTTGTAACATGATTTCTGTTCAGTGGCAAACTTTATCATAAAACATCCTACTCTAGCATGCAGTCTATTTTAAATTATTGGGTTCTGCATCTAACTCTGAGAAGAGGTCACCCAGGTGTCACCAGTGGAAGGGCTGAAGTGACAGGGTATTTTTTTTTTTTTTAAAGATTCAGATACTTTTAATCTTTTTTTTTTATTTATTTATTCATTTGAGACACAGAGATACAGAGAGAGAGAGAGAGAAAGCATGAGCAGGGAGAGAGGCAGAGGGAGAGGAAGAAGCAGGCTCCTCGCTGAGCCGGGAGCCCGATGTGGGGCTCGATCCCAGGACCCTGGGATCATGACCTGAGCCGAAGGCAGACGCTTAACCATCTGAGCCACCCAGGCGCCCCAAGTGACAGGGTATTCATTCACCTGTCAGTGGATCTGAAAGTTCTTCTGTACGGAAAGCCTGGACCAGCATTCTTAGGTTCATGATGCTGGGGCCAAGAATAGCAACGAATTCCCTGTGTGAAAGTGGTATTTGTCACCCACAATTAGGAAGGCGTATGTTTCCCATGTGGCTTTCTCAGAGCATTTGGTATTGATCAGTACCACGTGTTTGCAAAACGACTGCATCTGATTGTTGAAGGATCGGGAGAACTGGGAAGTCCTGTAGTCGAGGGAAGTAAACAGCCCACAAGACCAAGCCCTCACTCGGTGGGAGGGACACACACTAATGCAGGTGTGTGGGACTGGAGCAAGTCCCCTTGCTGTTGGAGTCATGGCAGCTGAGGGCTTGTGTGTAAAGGGCCTTGCTGCAGCCCTGTCTGAGGAATGAGGGAGGGAATAATCTGGGGAAGACTGTGGGCCCACGCACCAGGTTCTGGCAAGAGCAGATAGCCTGCAGAGAGACCCTGAGGAGGCAGCCTGCTAGGAGCCTTTTGAGAGTGTTAAGCACTGTCCAGCTTGCCTAGGTAATACAGAAACTTAAATGGATCTTAGAAAAGAGAAACAGCATTTAATGGCTAGTTGTGGCTTCTGAAACGGAAACTAGAGGAAAGATCCCGTTGTCGCTGTCCCTGAAGACAGAGTGTCCCAGCATCCCTTGAGGCGGGGAGAAGAGGGGAGTGTGTGCCAGTGGTGCTTCCTGGAGCCCACGTAGGTGGTGGGGTTGTGTCTAGGAGTGCATGGACAGCGAGGGGTTCTGCAAAGCAGAGAGACCCACTTCCACTCAGGTCCCATGTGTGGGAAAGTCGTCCTGCAGGTGTGTGAGCTCCTGGAGAGCAGGGGCCAGGCCCCCAGTGTCCTCAATCTGTGATGAATCAAGGACTAACACACTTTGTTCATCTAGTAGTAGATGAGGGAATGATGGCCACCTGAGCTAGAGGAATCGCCTTTCCAGGGTTCTGGGCTGTTTCCCTTTGATAGGGCTCTTTTCTCTCCAGTAGAATGCTTACACACTGCAGCCAGTTTCCAGCTGTGCCCTGGAGAAGCAGTGTCTGGCCCTGTCTCTGGATTGGTCCACGGGGAAAGCTGAAAGGTAGGGGCCGGCGTTGGTGAGGGACCCCAAGTCTTTCCTCTGAGAAGTCTTTCGTCTCTTCATGCACGAGAGAATTGAAACCCTGCACCAGCCTTGACTGTGGCTTCCCAGGCCTGGGAATATCACTACCAGTCCTAATCTAGAAAGAAAACATTCCGACTTTTCAGATAAAAGGGATGGTGTTTTCATCAAGAGAAGCTGACATGGGTTTATTTTGACAAGCGAAGTGGTAGTTTTGGTTTCTGCCAGATGCCCAAACGTCTTAAAGGGCAAGTCCACGGACCAGGTCCATGGAGAACCTCTCTCTTGACATGTCTTGGAGTGTCACCAGTTGGGAGCCAGAAGAGGGTGATGAGTTTGGGTCAATGAATAAATTCAGCTGGGTTTCTCCATTGGTTCCCTGTGTCTAGGGCCAGTGACCAGCCCTTGAAAATCATTAGCAGCGACTCCAAGGGGCAGCTCCACCTGCTAGAGGTGAATGAGGCGGGGCCAGCACTGCAGGAGGTGGCCACGTGGCATGCCCATCACTTTGAGGCCTGGATTGCTGCCTTCAATTACTGGCAGACAGAAATCGTTTATTCAGGTTGGTACTTCTCCGCTGGGTGTCGGCCCCGTGAGGGAGGGAGGGGGCAAGTGTGGCACGTCAGGGCCAGGACTCCGGGCGTGTCGGGATCTTGACCCTTTGTGGAGACTGTAGTTGGTACTTGCTGCTTACCTGTTGAGGCTTTGTGGGGTCTTGGGTAGCGCTGACCACAGTGTTGGAGCCGCGGGAGCCCTGTCTCCTGCCACTCTTGGCACCTGGTCCCTCGCTCCTGCTGTGAGAAATCCAGAATTCCCGCATTTCCCGCTGCTGTTTCTGTGTCCAGTATCGACTTTGTCATGTAGGATTTCAGGCTTGTCTCCTCCCGTTTTGGATACAGTTTACCTTCCCGAAGAGAAGATAGGGTTGATTTCCTGATATTGTGAGTGGTATGTATTGTGGGTGCTGATGTGAGAATGAGAAATTACTAGAACTAGAGGTTGCAGGAGCCAGGTAGCTGTGGTCAGCCTCTCTTGGCCAAGTGGGGAGGACTCATGGGACATGGGAGGCGGGAGGTGGGGGCATTGGCCCCTGAGAAAAGGCAGAAGGGGAGCTGCTGGATTTGCAGAGAGGCAGAGAAAAGATCTGACCCTGGTTTCCTTCTGCATCCAGTTGCTGGTAGTGTGCTAAGCTCCACAGTGAGCAGTGAGGCCAGGGACATTCTGTTGGACTGTAGGGCGCTGCATGGTCTCCTCCTTTCTGCCAGAACCGCTGTCACTTAGCTCCTCAGTGGCCTGATCCAGAGAGCACCCTCTCAGCAACATTCCCATGCTGACCCCGTCCTGGTGCCGTCTTTTCCTTGGGTTACCCTGGACTTTTCCTCTTCTTTCTGATTGCTCTTCATTCTGCTTTGCTGGCTCCTTCCCTCTGCTTGAAAGTGTTCGTGTCCTCTGGCCTCTCTCTGGTGCTCTTCTCTCTCTGCATTGTTGCTCTCCTGACTTCAGCTACGGTCTCTGTCTTCCAGAAACAACTGCATTTTGGTTGCTTAAGCAGACCTCTCTCTCTCTCTTTCTTTGTGTGTGTGTCTCTCTCTCTTTCTTTCTCTCTCTCTCTCTTTCAAGGAAATTTTTCTTATTTATTTTAAGTGATCTCTACACCCAGGATGGGGCTCAAACTCACGACCCTGAGAGTTGCATGCTCTTCTGACTGAGCCAGTGAGGCACCCCAAGATTTAATTTTTTTAGGTCTTCTCGTTCTTGGATTATACTACCTTGAGGCTTAGCTAATTCAGAGCAAGGGTATTGTGGGGGCTATGATTTAATAATTCAGCACCAACTCGTTTATTCAATGAATGTTTATGGAGTATCTACTATGTGCCATGCACTGTTCTAGGTGCTTGAGATCCATGAGTGAACAAGACAGACAAAAGTCCCTGCTTCCACTGAGCTTACATTGAGAGATGGGCAACGGTCATGGAGCACAGCATATAATGAGTGAACAGAGGGCACAGTAGCTCAGAGGTGATAAGTGCTTTGGGAAGAAGAAAGGTAGACCAGGGTTGGGGGACTGGGGTGGGGGCAGGGGCAGGCTGTCCTGTTACAGAGCATGGTCACTGTAGACAGAGGCCTAGGGCAGGAGTGAGCCTTCTTCACGAGGAGAGCAGCAGGACCAGAATGGTGGGAGGGGTGGCAGAACAGAAGCAGGCGAGATCAGGCCACAGGAAGGACTTTGGCTTTTGCTCAGAATGAAATAGGAACAATAGCAGGATGTTGATCAGAGGGATGACATTTTCTGACTTACATCATAGAATTGAAGGGGATCTGCTTCACTAATGTGTTGAGTAGAGACTGCAAGGAGGTGGGGGCAGAGCCTGGAGACCTGCCATGCGGGTGGGGGCAAGAAGGCCTCAGACCAAGTTGGGAGTAGTGCACACAAGGGAAAAGGGGTAGGACTCTGGATGTATGTGTGCAGGTGGGTGAACGTGGGTGTGAGACGGGAGGGAGCAACGTGTAAAGAAGCCACTACCAGGTTTCTCTGTAACTGAGCCACAGGACCGCAGCTCATGTTGGGGGCGCCCCTGCAGGCCTCGTGCTGGCTCTGCTGGTCTGCTTACTTGTAGGTCACGTTCATGCCGTAGTCCTTCTGTCTGTCACAGGGACCTGCGGCGTGCTCAGTAACACCTGTTGGATGGGCAGGTAGTTGAATGGAAGGTGGGTAGGTGGTGGGCAGGTGGGTATATGGAAGCACAGACGGTTGAGTGGATGGATGGGTGGAGTGGTCAGACCCAGGTGTTTTTCTTTTGCTCCTCTTCATCCTCCCTGTGGGTCCTGCTTTTCAGCCTTGCTCCCCTTCCTTCAAGATAGCCACCAGCACCCTGTATCTTGTTGTTGCTTTTCTTCAAAGACTGTGCATTATGGTGCCAGCTTCCCCCTTCTTCCTATTTTTTCAGTTCTCCAAGACAAGCAGGGGTCCTCTTTACTGTAAGGTCACAAAGGGCACTTCCCTTTAAAACACATGGGGGTGTGCTGAAGGTTCCAGAAACTTAAGAAGTGCTCATGTTTGCTGCCTTCTGCATGCAATTCTGGTTCAGAGTTCTTTGATATGGCAACTTTGGTTTGTGCAGCCAGGAGCATTGATTGCTGGAGTCTAAAGAGGAGCCCCGTTAGCCATGTTGTGACCTGGAAATTCTTTCCCTAACTTCTTGGGCTTCCCTTTTATTCCTGTAGCCTGAGCCCCCCAGCCTTTCCTGTCTTCCCCATGGGGGCCCTCTCCAAGTCTGAAGACACAGTTCTAGCACAGGGATCTTCTGCCTGGTGGCAACCTGAAATCACCCAGGAAAAGTCATCCACAGGGATTGCCCCACGGGCAGAAATTCCCTCCCTGAGGAGTGGCTGCCTGCTGTTGTCAGTGGATCTTTCTGTTCCCACGCAGGTGGGGACGACGCCCTTCTGAAAGGCTGGGACACCAGGACACCGGGCACATCTGTATTCACTAGCGAGAGGTAGATTATCAAGGGCTAGCCCTCGGCATGTAACACCAACCCTCCTGTCCCTCCTCCGTGGACTTTCCACTGGAGACGTGCCCCTGCGTGGGAGCTTGCTCAGGCCTTGACTTTTGCCTACAGACACTCCATGGGTGTGTGCAGCATCCAGAGTAGTCCCCATCGGGAGCACATCTTGGCCACAGGAAGGTGAGTCCCTTAGGGTTGGGTCACAGGGGTCTGTCTTCCATCTTTCACTTCCTTTTCTCATGTTGACCGTTGCAATGTTGTTGAATTGGACCAACTCTTACACCAGAGTGTGGCTATCTGGGCTTGGGGGAAGGGACTTTGTCCTATAGAGGGATGAGTGGTATGGGTTTCTCCAAGAGTGTCCCCTGCCACCTGGGGGCCGTGGGGGAAAAGTGGGCATTGGTTTTCCTGTGTGATCCCTGTGCTCGGTGGGTTTCAGCTATGATGAGCATGTTCTGCTGTGGGACACTCGGAGCATGAAGCAGCCATTCGCAGACATGCCCGCGCAGGGCGGAGTGTGGAGGCTCAAGTGGCACCCTTTCCACCATCACCTGCTCCTGGCAGCGTGCATGCACAGTGGCTTTAAGATCTTCAACTGCCAAAAGGCGATAGGTGAGTAGGGGCCCCTTGGCAGCCAGGCCTGGGGTGGGGGTTCCCAGTTTTCCTGCTCCCTTGCTCTGCACATCCCCAGGCTCACACCGCCATCTCACCAAGGCCCGTAACTGGGCCAGCCTCGAGCCTCAGTCTGCAGCACTCTGCTCCTTAGCCATGGGTCTTACCTGACCAGCTCAGTTCTTCTGATACCTCCTGCCGTTCAGATGTTCTCTGCCCTCTTAGGACTCTGCTCCAGAAGCATTCCAGAGCTGTCCTTGGCCCACCTCCTGCCACGTCTTCCTGCCTGTGCAGTGTGGTGGTCTGCGTGCTCTCATGTTCCCAACATGCTTCAGCTCTCTTCCCCTTGCTCCCTTGCTCACTCTGGGCAGCTCCCAGCACTGGTCAGACCCAGTTCCACTTGGGCCTGAGCCACACAAGGGGGTTGGAGGGAAAGAGTAACCCTGTGGGGTCTCACTTTAGGTTGATGTTACAGTGGGTCCTTGGAGTTGCCAGGCGAACCGTGGCCTTTCTCCTGCCAGCCATTCTTTACTGTCAGAACTTTTTCACATTTTCTTCTCTCTTCTCAAGCCGCCAATGCCCCCTTTCCCTCCTCGTTCTGCTTGTGATCCCCCTCCCTCCTTGTCCATACAAAGAAGTGAGTAGAGACACCACCTGGCCAGTGTGGCTCTGAAGCCCAGTCTCCTCTGTGTGGGGCTGCGCTCTGGGCTTCCTGTTTTGTGTTTTCAGTTCCTCCAACTGTTGCGCATCCGTTCTGGTAGTGACGCGAACATGCAGTTCTCAGCTGGAAGCCTTGTGAGATCTTGCGTGTTAATGTGGGTATTTACAGTAAGAAGTTGCCCTCTGAGCACTGCTTTTGCTGCATTCCATTAGTTTTGGGGTGTGGTATGTTTTCATTCATCTCCAGTACTTTCTAATTTCCCTTGTGATTTCTTCTTTGACTCGTTATTTATGAGTGTGTTGTTTCATTCCACATTTTTGTGACTGGCCTAAATTTCTTTGTTACTGATTTCTAATTTTATTCCTTCATGGATTCCTTTTAAGTTATTGAGATTTGTATTGTCGGTTCGTGTGTGGGGGTCGGTCCCAGAGAGCGTTCCGTGTGCTCTTCAGAAGAGTTTGCTCTATGGCCCCGGGCAGAGTGCTCTGCAGATTCTGTTCACGTGCTCTGTTGGTTTTCTGTCTGGTTGTTCATTATTTTTTTATTAAAAAATATATATATATACACATATGTAAATATGTATATATATATATTTTTACAATTTTTTTAAAAGATTTTATTTATTTATTTGTTAGAGAGGGGGGAACACAAGCAGGGGGAGTGGGAGAGGGAGAAGCAGGCTTCCCACGGAGCAGGGAGCCCGATGTGGGGCTCGATCCCCCATGATCCCTGGGATCAGGACCTGAGCCGAAGGCAGATGCTTAACGACTGAGCCACCCAGGCGCCCCGTTACCATTTTTTCTACGTTTTAAAATTAGCATTCTTTTATAAGGAAGAGCTTTCTTTTCTCCCATATATCTGTATTTATTAATTGTCCATATAGATTCATGGCTTTTATGTTACTCAGTGGGCCATAAGGTGTTATTGTCATTACTCATTATAATGTTCACATCATCCTAGAGCTTTCTCATGAAAACCCCCTGAAGCCGTCTCCTGTGTGTGCCACATGTCCCTACTGATTTTTGAGTACTTCCCTCGATTTTTGGCCACCAGGCCTTCCAGCTGGTGACAGTTTTCTAAGTCCACACCCCAGGTCACCGGCCACTAGTTTCCTGTAGCTGCTCTTGCCATCCTTGGCCTTGCCCTGGACCCTAGACTATCTCAGGTTTGGCAACACCTTGTCATTTCTTTCTCTGGTTGAATGTTGCTTTCAAACTTTTTATAGCTAGACCTCTTTCCAGTCCTGCCCTCCAGCCTCAAAGTTGCCATAGCAACTCACCATAAGGAAAACTGCTTAAACTCTTTAGTGACTCCTTTCCAAGCTCAAACCCAGACTTTATGGAGCATGCAGAACTCTGCACGATTGTCACCCTCCAGACATGTGTCGCCACTCCCTGATGGCATTTCAGCCACGGGCACTTGTGGTTGCCCAGATGTGTCCTGTTCTATCTCTATACTTCACACATGCTTGTTCTCTGTTTCTCATGCATCCCTGTTGCTCCCATCTGGCTACCTCCTTTGTCCTTTGCTTTGAAGTCTTCACTAAGAGACTTTTGCCAAGTCCTCCAGCTTGGAAAGGCACCCTCGCCCACGTGCTTCTGTAGCTGATTTCTCCCTCAGGCGCGCACGCGGTGCACTCCCTGCAAGTGAAGGTCTGTTTTCTTCTCATCCGTCCACATCTCAGGGGTCCCTTTGTGTGACACACAGTGGTTGCTGACTCTGCTTTTAGCAGTCTCCCTTTGAGAGTGGGCAGGGGCCATTGGTTGGAAGTGATGAGATCAACCCTGGGTAACGTCGCATGTTCTCATTCCAGAGGAGAAGCAGGAAGCCTGCACAGTCTCTGTGTCCCATACGTTGCCCAGCTCATTGGTGTATGGAGCTGACTGGTCCTGGCTCTACTTCGGCCATCTGTCACAGACCCACCAGCCGTGCTGCTTAAGGGCCTTTCCCGACAGCAACTTAGGAGCCAAAGCCTCACAGCTCTACAGCCTGAACACTGTACGTCAGTCACCGGCAGCCTCTTCTCATCGTCTAGCAGAGGCTGAGGAAGAGGGTCATTCCAAACTTCAGAGCAGCAGCAGACCAAAGACGCCTCTCCATCCACCCACAGAGGACATGACGAAGAGCAGCAGCTGGTACCACGCTGCAGGGCCCAAGGTCTGTGACTGTGACCTCTCTCTGGAAGCAGCAAGCTTGGACGTTGACCTCCTAGCTACTTGCTCCTTTTATGATCACGTTCTTCACCTCTGGAAGTGGGAGAGCAGCTGAGCTAGGGAAGAGTTTGGTTGAAGTCATAAAGACCATTTCCACAAATAAAACCCAGAGTGTGACTCTGAGTGAACTGCCCTCAGACCATCTCCTTGAAAGTCTTCCTGTACGCCACAGGTGACCGTATAGGGCTCAGCGCACCTTACGGGCTCTACAGGGTGAACAAAGAAGCTCTTGGCTTTCTAAATAAACCTTATCTGCTGCGGCAAGTGGTGACTCTGCCTGATAGCAAGGAGTCTGCTATTGTGGGTGTGGAAGGGTCTTGGTTCCCAGCTCAAACTTCCCAGTTTCTTGTGTGCATAGGGACATTCAGCTCTTTGTACTCATTTAAATGAGCTAAATGAAAGTGTGTGGTTTTTTTTTTAAGATTTCATTTATTTGAGAGAAGAGAGAGAACGCAAACGGGGAGGGTCAGAGGGAGAGGGAACAGACTCCCCACTGAGCAGGGAGCCCCACGCAGATCTCAATCCCAGGACCCCAAGATCATGACCTGAGCCGAAGGCAGACGCTTCACCGACTGAGCCCCAACAATAGTTTTTTTTTTGAAGATTTTATTTATGTTTCAACAGAGGGAGAGAAACCGCGAGAGAAGGAACACAAGCAGGGGGAGTGGGAGAGGGAGGAGCAGGCTTCCCGCAGAGCAGGGAGCCCGATGCAGGGCTCGATCCCAGGAGCCTGGGATCATGACCTGAGCCGAAGGCAGACCCTTCACCGACTGAGCCCCTAGGCGCCCTGAAAGTGTGCTTTTCCTTAAAGCTACTTAACAATAGTTTTACATGCACATTTAAAAAGATCACCTCATCATGGCACCAGATGTGCTTATTAGTCTCCTACGCTGATAAAGGGAGGTGTATACACATTGAGTTGCCTTATCGTGTCATAAACTTGAAATAGGTTAGTGTGGTGGATTGATCCCTCCTCCCCCTTGTAGCTTTAGTACCGGGAGTGGCTTCCAAAGCCTGGACACGGAGTAGCTTGAACACGTAACTGAATTTGTGACTCATCTGACTCCCACAGACTTCATTCTTGTCTCTCTGGAAGAAACACGTTGAAGTGCAGGCCAGTGTGGAGTCTGGCAAATCTTCAGTAGGTACTAACCTCGTAAGTAGTTGGTTCAGAAGCAGAAAACATGCACAGTTCTTTAAGATTTTATTTCTTTGAGAGAGTGTGTGTGCAGAACAAAGGGGGCAGGCAGAGGGAGAAGCAGACACCCCTGCTGAGCAGGGAGCCTAAGCGGGACTCCATCCCCAAACCCCAAGACTACGAACTGAGCCGAAGGCAGACACGTAACGGACTGAGCCACCCAGACATCCCAGAAAACACATTTCTATTTTTTGCTTTCTCTTCTGATGAAAATATAGGTCAGAGCACGTAAGAAATTACTGTGCTAAAACGATCGATTCCCAGCTAATGGCGCATTTATTTCAATAGAATTTGAACCCTCCTTTAGAGTTCAACGGTATTTAACATAAAAATCAATTAAATATTAGGCAGAACACAGAAGACCAGAGGGACTGTGCGCAGAAACAGGCGAACCCAAAGGAGAAAGAGACTAGGTTACTGGAGGTCTGCCCCAAAGCAGCCGCTTTTGAACCCGTAAAGCAGATGCTCGCTGGCTTCGCGGGGTGAAGAGTCTGCGCGGTAAGTTAACCAGCGCGGTCACGTGGCACGACGTGCCCCGCGCATTCTCCGCCTTTGCAAGCCGAGCCGTGTGCTCTTGCCCCAACGGCGGGCGGTCGGGAGACGACGGCTGCCGGTTTCCCGGAGTGGGGTCTCCAGGGTTCTGCTCGGTCCTTCCATCTCACGAGGACCGCGCGCCAAAGCCGGCCCGTCCGGCGGCCGGGGAGGAGGGACGGGCGCAGTCGGCAGGCTGGCAGGCACGCCGGCGGCCGGCGCTCCGCCGCCCCTAGCGCGGGAAGTTCTTGGGGTACAGCTGGAAGAGCTTGCCTTCCTGGGTGGGCTCGAAGCCGTACTTCCCCAGCCGCTCCGGGTCCAAAGTGCCGTCCCGGAAGTCCTTCTCGACGGCAGGCGCTACTGCCTCCCGGAACAGCTGTTCGGCCGTCAGGGGCGCGTCCGCGCCCGCCTGCGCGCGGTAGTTCACGTAGGGCTTGAGCCTGAAGCCGGCCAGCTCGGGCACCACCAGCTCCGGGACCATCTCCCTGATCTGCACAAACTTCCCGTCGCGGCCGTGGACGCCGGTCCCCTTGGCGCCGCGGCCCTTGTAGAAGGTGCGCGGGCCCCGCTTGCTGGTCCACCTGCTCATGCGGTCGGCGCCCCGCACCACGATGCGAGCAGCCCCGCTCAGGAGGCCCATGCTGAACCGCGCGCCACGCGGACGCTGTCGCAGACAACTCGCACGCGCCGCGATCAGCCGCGCCGCCCTCCGCTCCCGGCGCCCTCGGCGGCTTCCGGCGCCCCCGGCGGCTTCCGGCGGTCAGCCCGGCTTCCGGCGCCACCCGGCGGCTTCCGGCGCCACCCGGCCTCCGCGCCGCAGCAAGAGCAGCTCCGATTGGCGGCGCTGCGTCCAATGCACAGCCTCGGCCCTGCGAGTGGGCGGGACGTCCGGGCCCCGGCCAATGCGCTGGGAGGGGCGACGTCCGCGGCGGGGCGGCGGGGGTAGTGGCGGGGGCGCGGGCGTCGGGAGCGCGCGGTCCCGGTGAGTCACCGCAGAGCGCCCCGAGATGGCGGTGCCCTGGGCCTGGCCCTGTGAGGCAGGGTAGCCGTCAACGCCCCCAACCCCTGCCGGGACGCACCCTGCGCTGCGTGGTGGGAGGCGCAGGTGGGAGGCGGGTCCCCCGGACGTTAACCACCGCTCCCAGCCCCGACGCCCGTCGACCCCGAGCCCCCAGCTCCGAGGTTCCCCGACCCTGAGGCCCAGCCCTGACGCCTGTCGACCCCCAGCCCCCAACCCAGACACTACCGCGAGCCCCCCAGCCTCGCTGTCCCCAAACCCAAACCCCCTAACTCCGATGCCCCCTTAGCCCCGACACCCGTCAACCCTAGCTCTCCAACCCCCGACGTCGGCCAGCCCCAACGCTGTCAACCCCGAGGTTACACCGACACCCCCAACCTGGACGGCCACTAACCCCGATGCCTCCCTAACCTGCCGCTTCCCAGCCTTGCAGCCCCCTGCCTCCCACTTCGTCTGGCTCTGTGCTGTCCCAGGCGGAGAAGCAATGACTTCCACTTTTGTGTCCCTAGCAGGTGCTGGGGACCGTGAGCTCTGCCCCATTTCAGACACTCAGGGATGGGATGTGTGGGGAGACTGCCTGGTCAGGGCACTAGCAGGCCACAGAGCTGGGGTCAGGGGCGCTCCTGGCCCTTGAGGAGACTAATCTGAGAAGGAGGGGTTTTCCATGTGGGTGGCAGAGGATGCAGGAGCAAATGCACTATGACCCTGCATGTGCCTTCTGCGTCCTGACTTCTCTGGATGGCATTTTGGGAGAGAAGAGTCTTCTCTTGCTGCTGCTTTTCTAAGGGGCCTGGGAGCCACAGGGTGAAAGCCCAGACCTGGTTCCTCCCCACTAGACAGGGGCAAGGTGCACCAGCTCCCCAAGTTCATCCTCCTCTGGACCTGACACACCCACCTTGAGGACTCAACCCCACTGGATAGGAACCCCCCCTGAGGCAGGCCACTAGGGTGTCTCACAGTTCCCTGTGGGGCCCCGTGCGCCCCTACCCCGCCCCCAGCCACAGCCTCCTCCCTGTGGCCCTGGGAGCTCCGGGGGGCACTAGGCCTTGGCTGAGCAGTCCATGCTTGCCCTTGACCTGCTGGGAGAAGAGCGGGACTTGGCTGCAGTTGTGGGTTCCTGGGCAGCCACAGGAGAGCTGTTTTCAGAGAGGGGAATGACTCTGGTCCCTCCCTGGAGAACACAGCTTTCCGTCAGGGTTTTCCTTTCAGTGCAAACATAATTTAAAGAGAAAAGGAGCCCAGGAGGAAAGGCTGAAAGCATTGCTCTGCCCCGTGAGCATGAGCTGGGGGGACCCTTGCCCTCCTTTGAACCAATCTTTCCTCTTTTCACCTTGACTGTTTTTGTTTTTTTTTTTTTTTTTCATTTTTAGCCATGAAGCAAGAGGAGGATGCCAGCCCAGAGGTATGGAACTGGAGGGTTCCAGGGTTGATTCAGAGCCTCAGAATTCCCAGTCGGGCATTTCTGGACAAGGAGATTTGCTCTGTGGGCAGCTCCTTGAAGTCGGCTGAATGGGAGTGGCAGCTTGGGCCCCTCCGTCCCCTTGTCAGAGTCGAGACCCTGCCACTTCTTCCCCCGAGGTCACAACTGTCAGTTCCTGCTTCCCCTTAGGACTTCTGCTTGCTTCGACGTGAGTCTTTTCTCCGTGGAACATCTGTAGCCATATCACAAAGGCCTTTATTCCTAAAGCAGGAAAGTGGATGCATTAAAACAACCATGAAAAGCCTGAGATGCTCAATATAGGAGATTGTATAACTCAGTTACGGGCCACCTCTGTGACCCTTTCCTTGGTTGTCCTTGGTTGTCCTTGACATGGTGGCTGAGCTCCAGGGGACACACCTAAGTGAAGAGTGGGTTGTGGGTGCTGTCATGTTGACAGCTGAGCACTCGGGGCCAGGAGGGGCTGGATGCCTCAGCTCCGAAGCAAAAAGCTCCCACTGCTTCCATTTGCCTGCTGAACCAACTTCAAAGACTTGCTTTTCTGGGCCACGTACTTACCCTGTCTTGCGGCAACATTCTGCTTTTGAGACTTTTTTCTGAATGCTCTTCCATTTCATTGGGTTTTCTGGCATCCATGCTGTGTCTGGTGCTCTCTCGCTAAGGATCGGACAGGATACTTTAGTCCTTGGCACTTGTGACTTGAAAGGATTAACAGGTGCCCCCTGCCGCATCCTGTTCCTGGCTGCTTGGGGGGAATGCAGAGTGGCTGCTTGCCTGGCTGGTTTCTCTTGCTCGTTTTCATCTTTTTGAGGAATCAGCCAATATTCTCCGTGTGGGTGGCCCCAGCCATCTGCCCGTTCACCATCCTGTGCTCACTTTTTTCTCCTCCTCCTCCCTCCCTTGGGTCTGAGCTTCTGAAGCCCCACTAACTCCTTCCCTAGGAGGTGGTAGGGAGCAGGCACATAACCTTTCCCTGCTATGAGCTGGTATTCAAGGTTCTCAAAATCCAGAAAATCTCAAAATCCGTGGCTCTTTGGGGTTTCTCAGCATTGCTGTGGTGCAGGCTTCCATGTGCCCTGAGGCCGGCAGTGCACAGTCCTGTTGGTGATGAGAGGGCACCGAGTGATGGCCTTTGCGCCCCCCGTGGCCAGCCGGGCTTGCTCCTCTAGGCTTGCATCTGAAGGACTGGAAAGCTGAAAATTTAGGATTCACCATGTGATAAAAATGCGTAGGGTATTTGTGGTCAGCACAGCCCAGCTGCTGGCCCTGCCCAACTGCCTGACCCCATGTCCCGTGGGTGGCCGTGGGAGACCGGTTTCTCTGTCTACTGAGCAGTGTGCTCAGAGGACCTTAGCAGCCCAGAAGATCACTTCTTCCCTAACCAGCAGCTCTATTCTTGCTGCCCTGGGAAGCCAGGGCCACACCTGTGTTGGCCCTTCCTGACCACAGTGTTCTCCCCTAGGCTGGCTTCTGTCTGGGTGCTGCCCTGCAGTCCTGGGGGCTGCAGTTGACGGAACAGCATTCACAGTCCACCATGGTAACCACCTCAAGTGCTTCCTGGTGACGGGTGGGCCCTGGGGTTTGTGGCTGTTGCGCTCCTGGCTGCTCCTGGCCCTTTTGTCCCAGCCTGTTGCCAGGGTGGGGAGGGGCAGTGTGGCAGTCTTGCTGACAGGTGCTCTGTCTGTGACCTCGCCCAGCTGATGGGGATTGTGATTGGAGCCCTCCTGGCCCTGGCCCTCGTTGGCATCACCGTCTTCTTTGTGTACAGAAGGGTTAACCGATTCCGTGAGTATCTCACTTCAGACTCCAGCTCTGGGGTAAGGGACAAGGGCTTGGGAGGGTGGGGGAGGTTTGGGTGACTTGCCCGTGTTTTGAGCTCCTGGGAGCAGCCCTCAGGCCCATGATAGCTTTTGTTGGGAACTGCCAGCCTGTCCCAGCTGAGGCTGTGCATGTTGGACCCATGGAATTTGTGTATGTCCCCAGCTTTCTTGGCTCACATTTCTGAGCAAAACTTTGGTAAGAGGAGACGCAAGTCCTGCTCCCTGTGAGCCGGCCTGTGCCGGCCCGGGCCCAAGATGCCATGTGCCTTTCCCCCACACTTATGCCGGAGCAGGGACAGGACAGGCTCGGTGTGCACAGCCTACGGGCTGCCTGGCAGAACCCTCCCACCTCTTTGTGTCCCAGCCGTGGCTCAGGAGGCCCTTCTGCTCCCCTTGCAGGACAAGTACAACCCACTCCTCAGTACAGGTTCCGGAAGAGAGACAAAGTGATGTTTTATGGCCGGAAGATCATGAGGAAGGTAACCTGTCCTGCAGGCCTGCTTGCCACAGGCCCTGGCGCAGTGGGGCCCCCAGCAGCCTGTGGCTGCCCTCACCTCCGTACCCTCAGAGACTGTTAGCCAGCGCAGGAGACAGAGGCTTCGTCGGCCTCTGTCCTGGGGCACGGCGTGTCCTGGCTTCGGTGCTGAAACTGGGGGTCCTGCCAAGATTTGGACACTGGGAGCCCTCCCTTGTCAGCATCAATGCCCACGTGGAGGATAAGCTGCCTGGTCCGACTCATCCTTCCCGGTCATCTCCAGCCCCTCCCACTCCCCGAGGGCAGGAGGGACTCACCACTACCCAGGGGCTTGCTTCAAATAGCTGCTGACGTTTTAGAGTAGCATCTACCTAGCACTTTTTTCTGATGAGCAACTAATACATGTTCTCTGTAGCAAACTTGAAGTGCCACAGGAGAAGGCACGTGAGTCCTTGCGTGGACCTCCCATTCTTCTCAGCGTCAGGCTGTGACGAGGAGGTCCACTGGGGCTGCTCACGGGCCTCGAGCCTGAACGCTGCTGCCTCACAGCCTCGTGCGGGGCCACATGGGCTGACCTCAGGCAGGTCTTGAAGGAGCCTGCACGTGGTCGGGTGGGGAGGCAGTCAGCCAGTGATCCCACTGAGGACTGTGCAGGGACCAGACCTGGGCTGAGGAGGACAGGAACGTGGTCCAGTGGTGCCAGACTGGTGCCAGGTCCACCTGGAGGGAAGGAGGAGTTGTGACCACACGCCCACAGCTGACACCCTGGGGCAGGAGCCGCTCGGGGAGCAGAGGGCTAGTGGCTGCCCAAGGGGGGCTTGCTGACATCCAGGAACCAGTGGCTCTGCAATGTTGGCACCACAGGGCAGATGAGCTGGCCTCAGTGGTGGGGAAGGGGCCAAGAGCTTTCCAGACCTGCGATGATCATGCAGGGACTCGGATTCTAGGTGGGGGGTGGGGCAGTAGGACAGGACAGGGTCAGCTTTTTTTTTATATATGTAGATATTTATTTATTTATCTTAGAGAGCTTGCATGAGTAGGAGGGGCGGGGAGAGGGAAAGAAAATCCCAAACAGACTCCATGATGAGCACAGGGCCGGACACACGGCTCAGTCTCACAACCCTGAGATCACGACCTGAGCCGAAACCAAGAGTCAGATGCTTAACTGACTGTGCCACCCCGTCGCCCCAGGGCCAGCTCTTAAAAGGCTGTGGAAAGGGGCTGCTGTGTCAGCGCAAGAGAGGAGAGGCTGAGCATCAGCCTTGCAGGCAGAGGGAACACAGGCCTGAGGACCTGGTGCTCGGAGAGCGCCGGGTGTTTGGGGATATGGCCTCGAGGTGCTTCATTGTCCCAGGTACCAGGCATGGTTCCCTGTGTCCTGGGCAGGCCAGGCAGGCAGGGTCAGACCCTGGGAGCTGAGGCCATGCCTGCAGGCAGCCCACAGGGCAGGTCCTGAGGGCTGTGGCTGAGCCTTGAGGCTGCAGGCCAGGTCCATTAGGTCCAGGCTCAGGACTTGGCCTCTCCCTTCACCCTGCAGGTGACCACGCTGCCCCACACACTTGTGGGGAGCACGGCAGCCCCCCGGCAGCGGGTGAGGAAGAGGACCAAGGTGCTGTCTTTGGCCAAGAGGTACTAGGAGTGTCCTTCAGACCACACGCGCCGCAGCTGCCCTCCCTGGAGGGCACTGGTGAGGCTGCTGGCCGTCACTGCTGCCCTGCCTCTGGGTCGCAGTGCTCACACCGTCTGCTTGGAATCCCTTTGGGCTCCAGGTGCACGTATCTTTGCTTTGTAGGATTCTGCGTTTCAAAAAGGAGTACCCAACCCTGCAGCCAAAGGAACCACCACCCTCCCTGCTGGAGGCTGACCTCACGGAGTTTGACGTGAAGAATTCTCACCTGCCGTCAGAAGTGTTGTACATGCTGAAGAACGTGCGGTAAGACAGAAGCTGGGTGACAGAGGCCTGCTGCAGGAGGGCCTGGGGCCGCGCTCCCTTCTCTCTGGCCACCAGTGCAGTCTCTCGAGCGTCTTTCCTGTTGTATTTGTTTGCCTGTCAGCATTTCCATGTTCAGGAGGAAACTCAGAGCAGGTTCGGGAAGTGTGGGGCCGGATCAAAGCTGCAAGCCTGGGCTTCCTTCCATCTCTGCCTGGAAACCCCGTTCCTCTTTCGAGCACTGCTTCACCGTCCTGGGCTTTTGTGTATGCCTCTGGTTCGGATTCATGGTCATGGCTCAAGAGTTCTTTGAGCTGATGGGAGGGCAGTTTATGGGAATTCCTGAAGTTTCAGCTTCAGTCCTGAGAGTGAATCAGGTGGCTGGTGCTGCAGGGTCTGCACCTCCGTGAACCCCAGCTCTGGATCTGGCCCGTGGTGACGGGGGCAGTGACTCTATCTCCATCAGCCTCCTTCCCTCCTTCGTGGAAGGTCTCCCACATGTGCTGTGGTTTTGCAGGGTCCTGGGCCACTTCGAGAAGCCACTGTTCCTGGAGCTTTGCAAACACATGGTCTTCGTGCAGCTTCTCGAAGGGGAACATGTCTTCCAGCCGGGGGAGCCGGATACCAGCATCTATGTGGTGCAGGACGGGCGCCTGGAAGTCTGCATCCAGGACGCGGTGAGAGTGCCTGGCAAAGTGTGTGTCGGTGGCCCGAGGGAGTGCAGAGCGAGGTGGAGGGTGTGGGTCTGCTGTGTTGTGTGTGTTTGTTTTTTGTTTTTTTTTTTAAGATTTTATTTATTTATTTGACAGAGAGAGAGAGAGAGAGAGAGCATGAGATGGGGGAGGGTCAGAGGGAGAAGCAGACTCCCTGCTAAGCAGGGAGCCCGATGTGGGACTCAATCCTGGGACTCCAGGATCATGACCTGAGCCGAAGGCAGTCGCTTAACCAACTGAGCCACCCAGGCGCCCCTGTGTGTGTTTGTTTTTTAAGTAAGCTCTACACCCAGTGTGGGGCTTGAACTCATGACCGTGAAATCAAGATGGCACACTCTACCGACGAGCCAGCCAGGCGTCCCTGTTGTGTTTTTACTTATATGTCTGCCATTTAAAAGATTTTTTAAAGTTTTCTATTGAAAAGTTAGTGTAAAATTTTAAGTTTCGGGTCTTTGGGGAAAAAGGCACACTTTGTGTCCAAAGCATTGGCTCACAGTTGGTGTGCCCTCTGATGTTGGTACGTTACCTTTCATTCACACGTGGGGGGGTGCCCATCGCTTAGTGGGTTCAGTGGCATTTGGTGGTTTTCTGCATTTTACCTGTTCTAAGCCTTTTGAGGTGTCTCTCCTGTCTCCTTAGAACACCCTCCAGTGGTTGGGTATTGATCTGCCACCATCCGTTGCACCCACCCTTGCCTTATGTTCGAGTTTTAGATTGTGAATGATTCTAACTCTAGGAAAATAATTAAGGTATTAATTTGCTTGAAAAGATACACTTACTTTCTGCCTCTGTTGAATTACAGCCTTGAATCAGAATTGCCAGGGGGCGATCTCCAGGCCAAGCCTGTGCAGGTCTTGCTTTCCAGCAGGGCGCGTCCTTTGATGTGCCCAGTAGTGTGATCCAGGCTTCCCACCTCTTGTTGTTGAAGCAGACACCCGGGGAGCCCCAGGCTGCATGAGGTGGCCCGCTGACCTTAAGGAGGTCCCCACCTGCCTGAACCCTGGGGGTGGGCCCTGACCCAGCTTGGATCCCACGTGTCCTTTCTAGCCACAATGTTGTCTGTGTGTGTCGCTTCATCTACACTGGACTTGATGGGATGATGAAAGGGAAATGGTCTTCGTCCAGCCTCCTCCCGTCTGAGCCATCAGTGTCCAGGGCTGTCGCCACCCAGCTGGTGGGCCTTTCCTGGAATGGAGCCTTTGGACCAGAAGGAGGGGTTCTTGGAGGCTGACCAGGGCCAAGTTTGAACAAGTTCAAAAGGATTTTCCTGGGTTAAGCTGAGATGAAGTTCCTATACTAAATAACCACCATAGTTTCCTTTCTTTTTTAATCCAGTGGAAAAATATATCAAAATGCTGTGATTTATACCAGTAACAACTGAGTTGGGTCTTCACAGCCTTCTTTTTTTTTTTTTTTAA